CGAATACCGGATTGGACTCAGTTCAATATGTACTAGAATCTGTACTTTACTAAGAAAGTGTAATCCCAAATATACACCTGGAACTTAATTAAGCACCCCCTGATATATTTCATGATAGTAGAGCAACTGTTAACCATCGTTAAACATGAATGATATTTCTGTATTACAACACATCTCTAGTAGTCTAAAAAGGTGTTTCAGTTCCTTTCCACTCGTCACAACGCATCCCTTGTGCACGTGAAGCAGACAACCCACACTTTTCCCAAAATTCAGTTTCTCTGACATGCAATTTATGGGTATAAAAGCAGACAAATGTGTAACTGTCTCCATTAATGAATACTGAAATGGCGAGGAGATGACTTTCTGAAGCACTAAGGTGGCAAATTGTAGGCATGCATGCAACAGGCATGTCCTTCAAAGTTATTGGACGACAACTGGGCTACAGTCACTCGGTCATCAGCCGACTTGTCAGAAACATCAGATGACAGGAGATGTGAGAGATCGTTCAAGGCCTGGACAACCCAGGAAGACAACGGCCCGTGATGATCGCAGCCTGGCACGTCTGGTAAGGCGAGAACCCTTTGCCATAACTTTGGGTTTGAACCGCCTGTGGTTACCCTACAGACAAGTATCCACCAGAACCGTCTGAAATCGCCTTAGGACACTTGGTATGAGGTTCAGAAGAGTCATCAAGCGTCCTGCTCTGTCTGATCTCCTTAAGAGACGACGTCTGGAGTGGTGTATGGCCCGTCGGCAGTGAAACCTGAGGACATGGAGGAGGGTCCACTGGTCAGATGAGAGCAGGTTCCTCCTCCACGTTACAGATGGTCGAGTGAGAGTGTGGGGGCATAAAAACACTGCTTACGTGCCCAGGAATATCCACCCTACTGTTCCTTATGGTGGAGGATCGGTTATGATCTGTGTTTGTCTTTCACACGGCTGTAAACTTCAAATGGTGACTGTCCGAGGACATCTTAATGGTCAGCAGTACATTCGGGATATTCTCCATCCAGTTGTCGTGCCTCACTTTGACAACCATCCGTTGCCTACTCACCCGATATTCATGGACGACAACGCCAGGCCGCATCGTTAACGTGCTGTGACCGCACATCTCCAGAATGAGGCTATCATGGCATTACCTTGGCCAGCAATGAGCCCCGATTTGAATCCTTTGGAGCACATTTGGGACTTTCTTGGACGCCGTGTGAGGTTGAGAGAACCCCCTCTCCAGAATCTTGCACAGCTGGAAGCTGCTCTGCATGAAGAATGGCGGCAATTGCCACTTGATCGTATCAGAAGGTTTACCAGTAGCATGAGGAGAAGGATTAAAGCTGTCATCCAAGCACGTGGGGGATACACCCGATACTGATGCCAGACCCATCAGATGTTAGCATGTGACATTCCTTGTGCATCATTTCTTGTAATAGTCAGCCATTGACAATACTACGACCATACTTGTTTAGTGACTATTTTCATCAAAAATCAGTAGTGACCAAATCACATTGGTTACGCTATTAAAACAACACGAATTGGAATCATTGTCTTGTTTTGCATTTGCCAATATATCGTATGTTTCACAATAGCTAAGGTTCCACTATCTTTGGAATAGTGAGAAAGTTACAGCAAGTTTTGTTTGTCATCATCCAGAAAATAGTGTGTGTGTGTGTGTGTGTGTGTGTGTGTGTGTGTGTGTGTGTGTGCTTAATTAAGTTCCAGGTGTATATAACATATGTTAGATTTGACATGGCATTCTACATGGCATTGTGTAACCATGTGGATAAATATTGGTATGCACAAATCAACGATTAGAAATTCGAAATAACAATACAGTCACGTTCGAGGTTATGTTCTTCTCAATTTGTTGAGAGGAGCATCATTGAGCGTCATTGATATTGTTGTAGTAGATAGATATGAGAGTAATGCCAGATTTAGTGAAATCTTTTACGTTCATATGCATGGACGTTAAGAATATTGATCACAATGTCAGGCCACAGATCACCTTCACTTCTGCACTTTCACCCTCCATATACTTTGTATCAAAAGGTTAAACCCACTTAAAACACTCACTATATGTTATATGGTTACATCGAAGTTGAATTTCTCCACTACCTTAGGGGAACCAACTGCAAACCTTTTCCAGATTAATATTATTGTACGAGGATCATGCATCAAATTGATGAAGAGCATGTAAATTCGTGCATGTGAACAGCTGCGTGTTGTTGTACAGTTTTGTTAGGAAATCCCCAATTTTCACTGAGTTTCATCATTTACCAACCTTACGAATTTGTTTTACACCACATAAGTTCATGTGTAAACAGTACTTTTTAAACAGTATGGAATATTAAGCAAAACTTAGTTTAGAATAGTTGACTGAAGAATGTGGCTATATTTACACTAGTGAGTGTACGCATTTGATACGAAGTATATATGATCAGATGGGCTAGCACTTTAGATACCCGTCCGCAAGTAGAGAAGCACTGAAGATTAATATTTAGATGTGTCCTTCAATGTTGTCCAATTTGCTGGGCATGTCAGTGAGCTCCATGTTCACTTAAAATGTCATGTTAATATGCATGATCATTATTGAAAAATATACACAGAATGTGAGACATCCAAACCACATTGCAACTCGTGTCACACATCATTAGCTGGATCAGCACTCTGATATCCGTTTGAGGGTAGGTTTCACTCACAGATTGTTTAAGAAATTAGTTATGTCGATCACATGTATAGATGACTCATATATCTCTAACCTTGGTTTGATTTTCTTTATGTGTCCATCATCAGGCCTATATTCATAACAACATCTTTCCTGTGAAATGCTGTATTGTTTCACAACAACAAAGACAATGGCATTGTCTCAAGTATAAGCATCCCCCCAGGTTCCAAAGGCATTTCTTTGCATCTTAAACATTATAATGTAAACGAGAGGTACCGACACCTTCAAACCTATCGAAGATAAACGTTGAAAAATATAAATACCAACCATTTCGATAACAAATTCTGTCGGTAATAAATTTGTATGAATTCAAGTACCCAATATGCATTGCATCTCCCATAATACACGACCAGATAGTACAGTACTTTACATACTAGTAATTGTTTAATGGTCAAGCAGGATTTCTTTGACACATTATCAATATTGATCACGTCCGAATGGTACAGTTATCCCATGTGTCCTCTGACAACTGTCTTTTAGTTTTTTTATCAATCATCTGGTCCATATCCGTATCAGTAACATGTGAGTAGAATGCACCATTACCGCACACTAACCTTAATGATGCATTTTCTCAATCACAACATCCAGGGTCCGAGGACGCATCAGAGATCCCTAAATATAATAGTGTCGACCTGGAGTACTGACACAACCAAAAGATACACACATTTGTGCTTAAATATCAGCTATCTGGATTACAAATGATCTTGGAAGTTTTATGAGTTGAAATGATACAATGTTGAAATCTTTAGATGTCTATATACGGTTCTGCCATTCACATGATTTCGCTTACACACAGCTAGATTCCACCACTTGAATCAACTGTGTGGAACCCTCAAACCTCCAAACCTCCAACCAGGCGTATGATACCCTTAGGCAAACATGATTTGAGTTAAATGTATAATTATTCAATAAATGAATAGGGTTAGATGTACAAGCTGTTATACCGTATATCAACACTGCTCACATATATAAGTAATTGGTCAGCTACAAGTTTCTGAATGGTTAAACATGTGCAGGATAATCGTGAATACATTCTCTTGCACAAAATTCACGTTACATTGGTATTGGGACTTTTGAAAGGCTTTGATTTTGTGATTAAATTTTTGATTGATTTCAGCATGTTCACCTTTTCAGAAATAGTCAAATATCCATTTCCATTCATAAGGATTCTCAGCTAATGGCCATGGGAATAGAAATGGATAATGCTTCTTATCTGTGTATGCTCACACGTGACAAAAATATAGTGTAAAGCGTTTTTGGTGTGATATCCAAAGGAACTATCTGGTCGGTCCGATATATATCTAGCATGCATGTCAGCGTTGAGGTCATTACAACCGAGCCCAAAGAGGCAGCATATAATTTCACAAAAACGACATCCGAATTTTAAGGAAAATTGTAATTTGTTGTCAGATCTTATCATTTTTGTTTAACACAGAGATTAAGTATAAGATGGAACATAACATAAAAAATTATGTTAGGTAGGAATGGTATGTAACAGTCCTACATTAAATACCTCGTACTCAAGCATTGTTTTTAGGTTTTGATTTGAGGTTTGGGAAACGAATCCTGGAAGTCGAAAAGATAGTCGACAGATGATTGAATTTTATAAAGAAAGGAGTTAGTTTCTATCGATGCCTTTTTTCTCTTATTTCCTTGGTTTTGTTTTCATTATAAAGTTTATCATGACTTGTACCACGAACTGCTCCACAGCTGAAATGAACTTTAAGCGAAGTTAAACCTGAAGGACAGATCATGTTTAATTCCTGAAGAAATATGATATAGTACATAGTATGATATGTACTTGACCTTTTGAGATATGGCCCTGTAGGAAATTATGAGTGTTGTTGTAATCAATCTTATTTATTCGGTCATAAAGACAGCCTTGCCGTGTGTTTAAGGTCTGGTGAACAGAAGTCAATGCAGCTAATAAACCCATAAATTCACAGATAATAGTTTCCTTCTAGCTCACCATTCATTAGATATTTAGGAAAAATCTCAACACATGGTACAAGACCCACATTGGCATGCTCGATGCAGTGTGAGTGAGTAACCTCCCTTGAACGACCAATAATGCGCTTAAATGACATAGTGCAAATTAGAAAGAAAAAAACACACTGTTCAGACAGAAATGAAATTGTGCTCAATTCACTTGGGTTGCTCATTTTCATCACGACTTTCAACCCGGTATTGACGCTATTGGCTCATTAAATTCCTGTTGGATCCGACAGGTAATGCATAAATATAGTAACATAATGACGCAAGTGTATTCGATTCTTTACAGATTGTACCTATTGCGACGATTACTACCATGGACAGAGAAAGTGGCACCTCATGTCACTGAAGAGCCTTGCATGTTCAGGTAAACAAACATAAGCTCATACTGACACACCGATTCCGTATGCTCTGACTTCAGTTAATTATATAAGTCATGAAATATTGTTGAAAAGGTGTGGAAATTGCTGGCATCACCGTGATAATACTTACTGTCAAATTTCAAATTACCAACACTCGTGAATGCGCACAATTAAATGTATCAATGATTTCGATTTTTGAGCCACAACCCCATTCACACAAGAATTTCAAATAAAACTCAAACATACTGATACTATCTGTAACTCATACTACCATCATACTTTTGTTAATTTGTTAATCAATAAGAAGTTTGTTCCAACATTTGTAATATAACCCTATCACAATCAATTCACAATAACGGTAACGTATGATTACTTCCTAAAAAATCTCTACTCATGTCGAGCATATTTTTCCATATTGTAAGAAAAATCAATGTTAACGAAAATTATATGTTTTTATATATCGAGAATAGATGAACAGGCCAATTGAGGAAAGTTATGTTTTGGGTCTGTGCGATGATTTTCCACAAGAAAAGCTGTAAACAAGCACAAAGTAACGTATTTTACTCTGACTCTACCGACATAATCTAAACGTGAGTTTTGAGTTTTGGTTGGTGAACCATCGACATGCTAACATGGGTGAATAAGCCGTATGTATTTTGGCTCCTTCATCACACAAAATATAACAAAACTTCCGAAAAGAATGAAAAGAATATGCACTACCAACATAGCAAAAATGCCGTCATGGAACCAAATGTTTGCTTCTGACGCTGCATTTTTAAAAGGTTGATGCTCTTTTTTTAGAATATCTGCACAGATACACCTAGATTTGATATTAAATTTGAACGCATCGACAGCCAAAACGCTGGCGACAGCAATTGTCCCAGTTACCTGAGAATGAGTGAAAACCGCACTGCGGTAATAGTTTGCTTGCAGGAAGTTGTCCCTAATCCCTCTTGGGCGGTGGGGTAGCCTAGTGGTTAAAGCGTTGGCTCGTCACGTCGAAGACCCGGGCTCGATTCCCCACATGGGCACAATGTGTTAAGCCCATTTCTGGTGTCCCCCGCCGTGATATTGCTGGAATATTGCTAAAAGCGGCGTAAAACTAAACTCAGTCAGTCAGCCTAATCCCTCTTAAGGACGTGGTTTCTCTCGCATGAAGTGGTTTCTCAAGCACAAAATGCATTAACAATTGTATTACCTTACTCGTTGTGCAGCATCTCAATGAATTTATAGAGGTTTTGATGTAACACTTTCATAGACCCACTGCTCACTGACGTATTATTATGATTCGTCACAAAGGCATGTCATCAGTTCATATTCTTTTGCAATATTTCAAAAGAGCAAACGTTCGGTGTTTGGTTTTAATCATGAACATAATAAACCCGTCAACCGTAATTACGTTTGATGCATTGGCCTAATTTCGCGTCAAAATATTTGGTATAGTCCAAATCATACAAATTGTGTTCACTCTCTCATTGCAACGTTTTACATTTAAAGTGAAACCCACCAGTTAGTCTATAAATTGATGGGATATTCACCAGTTAGTAGTGTGTAGGAAACACCCCCGGCGTCAGGTTATATTTCGTTTCGGGGTTAATGAATATAATGTTGGTCAAGCCATTGTGATTGAGTATGTCATAAAGAATTCAAAGCTGAAAAGAGTATGTATATACTTGCCCTTAAGGGAACTGATTCATGTTGTGTTGCTTTTGACATCTATAGGTCTCCAGTGAAAGCACGGTCACCTATGCCTGTGTTCATGTGCTTATATATCTGCGATAATAATCATATTTGATGTTTTCCAGTCTATTTAGAACTAGGACGACTTTACATGAGCCTGAAACAATCAGCAAACACTTCCTTTATGTATACAAGTATTTGTGTCTTTTGCACATTCTTACTAGCAGACATAACTTATTATTGCAGCTCTCCGTCTCCATCCATTGCCGGCCTCTACAATACCTCTGTGTAAGTATTTTAATACATCCTAACCTTTAGTGCCTTGCTATCATAATATCTAGTCAGATTACAGTCGCAAAACCCTTTAGGTATTTCATATTTGCCTTGGTGAGGTCTACATCCATTCATCCAAAACAGTCAGTTCTACAAGGTGGAAATGTAAACAATGTACCCAAAATGTTTTGTGCAGTGTAACTGCTCTGATATTGACCAGACAAATTTTCATTGTTTCAGATGACTGCAGAAAATGCACTCTGTTGTTGGGGGATGAAAAAGATCGCATGGGGCCAGATAGTAATGTATTCTTCATTCACCTACACGGGAAAGAGATTGACGACAGAACAAAGAGGATGAGTCAATCTACAGAGTATCAGTTCAAGAAGGCGTTGTCTTCAATGAGAAACTCAGGTGCTAGTGGTGTTCTGTTTGTGCATACATGCGAACCATATTCGGGTGTATTCGAATCGGCTGTTATCCCAATATTGTGCTCAATGTTAACTGACGACGAGAGGATCTCGGATGGGTTCAGATGGAAACGTGTAGCGTGTAGGAATGCAACAATGCACAAGATAGATGTCTTGCCATCAGAAATGTTTCTGACTGCTGACATGAAATCAAAGATGCTTGTTTGGAGCGATAATAACCAAGTATCTGCATCTTTTGAGAAATTAAGGCCCCTTCTGCTGTCTAAACGCAAAGTATCAACGAAAGAGCCCGCTGTGCAAGGATTGTCTCGTGTGAACCAAGTTGATGCTGTGAGGATCTATGTTGACAAGAGTAATGAGGAACGTGTCAACTATTCATTGCTGGCACTTAACATTTCTGTAAGCACGTGGGTGAATCGGATTATCAATGTTTTTTCTTTACCGGAATACGTCACATCAATTTCCAAGGGAAAGCAGGGTGCGTCTGTATATGTTGGCCGTAGAAATAACTACAACGGAGAAATGGAAGGAGTAACATTTCCTGGGGAAGGAAATAAACGTGAATGGCAAAGAATGCTTGCAGAAGAACTGCAGAAAAAAATATCCGTTTTAAAAAACAGATATTCAGATGTTATCCTTAACAAAAAAAATGTGTTTCAGATTGAAATCCACGAAACTGGAAGAAATTCCGGCGTCATTGAGGTTGCGGTGAGACCTGTTAATGGATGTGTGTTCCATGATGCTTTGGGTCCAGCTTCCTTCAGAATTGAAGACACATCCATTGCTAAACACCACTATAGAGCATTTGTCAGGTTGTCTTTTGAGGAATGGATGGAAAAGGCCCTTGTCTGAGACATGCTATGGTCATTTAAACCAATGATCCTTCAACGGCATTCTAAGTGGACTGAATCCTTCACATTGAAGCTTGTTGAAGTTTGTCATTCAAAGACAAACCCAGTCTAACTGAATCACTCTGAGTGAAATATAGGCAAGTATCTGTCCTTGTGTATTGAGAGGAAGCAACGTGAGATCTCCTTTATTAAAACAAGAGTCATCAGAAGATGACATATCTCCCCGGCCCCCACATAATTGAAAGAACAAATCATCTGTGACTTACAGTCGAGCTTGACTTTTTTAGACTAAGTCCAAATCGTTTCAATTGAAACCATGAAAAATATAAACGCCAAAAGTCTGTAAATAGCAAAAGGCACCACTTCAAGATCTGCCTATAAAAATCTGCTAAGTTCTGTTGAAAGATATTGAAAAGTTTTCGAGTTGTGCTCCGGAAACGAAGTCCACCTCTCCCTTTGAGTCTGAATCGTTTGCATTGAAACCGGGAAAACTAAACATGCCAAAAATCTGCAAATAGCAAAAGGCACCACTCTGGGAACTGCCTCATATATCCCCAAAGTTTCGTTGAAAGATATTGAAAAGTTTTCGAGTTGTGTTCTAGAAACGAAGCCCACGCCTCCCTTTTGAGACTAAGTACGCATCGTTTGCATGGAAACCGGGAAAAATAAAAATGCCCAAATTCTGCAAATAGCAAAATACACCACTTCAAGATCTGTCTGAAACAACCCCCGAGTTTTGCTGAAAGATATTAAAAAGTTTTCGAGTTGTGCTCTGAAAACGTAGCCAATCCCTCACCTTTGAGACTAAGTCCGAATTGTTTCCATGGAAACCGAGAAAGTAATAAATAACAAAAATCTGTAAAATAGCAAAGGGCACCATGTTAGGTTCTGTTTGATATATCTATCAATTTTTGTTGAAAAATATTGTACGGTATCTGAGTTATGTTCCGGAAACAAAATGATTACGGACGGACAGACGGACCGACTGTCAGACGGACAAGGCGTTGACTATATCCCCCTGCATTACATGCGGTGTGTGTGTGTGTGTGTGTGTGTGTGTGTGTGTGTGTGTTTGCATAAAAATGAACTAATGTGAAAACTGAATCAATTTTATTCACGCGCTACCTTATCCTACTTATCCTAAACGACCTTTCCGAGACTGACACTGCAGTTGATACCACAATGGACACCATCTGTATAATGAATAGTTGATTATTACCTGTAAAAAACTCTATGCACTTATTGCAGCATGTGCAGTCATGCATTCGTCTGTCTATCATATATACATATGGTGATGTATCCCAGAAGTGTAACTGCATGCACATGTATGAATGCATGAGTTGCTGTCGTCACAACACATGGATGAGATACCATATATGCAACATGAACATTTAATTATCATATGTGAACACAATTTCATTTCATATCCTAGCTATAATTAATATAATAATATAATGTCTCATACTCACAGACAAGTTTTGTTTAACATAGTGTAGGTCGTGTATTGAAACCATAGGGCTTTGGAAAGTTTTGGCAGTACATATGTCAGCGCTTAAACTTCCCGCGTGCCCGACCGTCAGTAACGATCTATTTTCATCTCGGACGGTCAAATTTTAAAAGTATCAGACAGGTTCTCTTGTCGTCAGTTTGAGGTATTTACTGTGTTATGATGAATATGTTAAACTACTTACGATTGGACCGTTCATGTTACGATAACCAATCACAACACAGTTTACCTAAACTCGGTGCATTGCCTATTAGCGCTGTGAAGTTCATTGCGATGCCTACAAACAGTAACCTGCCCATCCTGCTTCCCGGGCCTTTCATTAGTTAATACATCCTGGTTCTCTGGCCTCTCATTAGTTAATGCATCCTGGTTCTCGGGCCTTTCATGGTTAATACATCCTGGTTCTTGGGCCTACCATTAGTTAATACATCCTGGTTCCCGGGCCTTTCATTAGTTAATACATCCTGGTTCTCTGGCCTCTCATTAGTTAATACATCCTGGTTCTCGGGCCTCTCATTAGTTAATACATCCTGGTTCTCTGGCCTCTCATTAGTTAATGCATCCTGGTTCTCGGGCCTTTCATAGTTAATACATCCTGGTTCTTGGGCCTCTCATTAGTTAATACATCCTGGTTCCCGGGCCTTTCATTAGTTAATACATCCTGGTTCTCTGGCCTCTCATTAGTTAATACATCCTGGTTCTCTGGGCCTCTCATTAGTTAATACATCCTGGTTCCCGGGCCTTTCATTAGTTAATACATCCTGGTTCCCGGGCCTCTCATTAGTTAATACATCCTGGTTCTCGGGCCTACCATTAGTTAATACATCCTGGTTCTCGGGCCTCTCATTAGTTAATACATCCTGGTTCTCTGGCCTCTCATTAGTTAATACATCCTGGTTCTGGGCATCGGGCCTTTCATGGTTAATACATCCTGGTTCTCGGGCCTTTCATTAGTTAATACATCCTGGTTCTTGGGCCTTTCATTAGTTAATACATCCTGGTTCTCGGGCCTTTCATTAGTTAATACATCCTGGTTCTCGGGCCTTTCATTAGTTAATACATCCTGGTTCTCTGGGCCTCTCATTAGTTAATACATCCTGGTTCTTGGGCCTTTCATTAGTTAATACATCCTGGTTCTCGGGCCTACCATTAGTTAATACATCCTGGTTCTCGGGCCTTTCATTAGTTAATACATCCTGGTTCTCGGGCCTTCTCATTAGTTAATACATCCTGGTTCCCGGGCCTCTCATTAGTTAATACATCCTGGTTCTTGGGCCTTTCATTAGTTAATACATCCTGGTTCCCGGGCCTCTCATTAGTTAATACATCCTGGTTCTCGGGCCTACCATTAGTTAATACATCCTGGTTCTTGGGCCTCTCATTAGTTAATACATCCTGGTTCTCGGGCCTACCATTAATTAATGAATCCTGGTTCCCGGGCCTTTCATTAGTTAATACAACCTGGTTCTTGGGCCTTTCATTAGTTAATACATCCTGGTTCTCGGGCCTTTCATTAGTTAATACATCCTGGTTCTTGGGCCTTTCATTAGTTAATACATCCTGGTTCTCGGGCCTACCATTAGTTAATACATCCTGGTTCTTGGGCCTTTCATTAGTTAATACATCCTGGTTCTTGGGCATCTCATTACTTAATACATCCTGGTTCTCGGGCCTACCATTAGTTAATACATCCTGGTTCCCGGGCCTTTCATTAGTTAATACATCCTGGTTCTCGGGCTTTTCATTAGTTAATACATCCTGGTTCTTGGGCATCTCATTACTTAATACATCCTGGTTCTCGGACCTACCATTAGTTAATACATCCTGGTTCCCGGGCCTTTCATTAGTTAATACATCCTGGTTCTCGGGCTTTTCATTAGTTAATACATCCTGGTTCTTGGGCATCTCATTAGTTAATACATCCTGGTTCTCGGGCCTTTCATTAGTTAATACATCCTGGTTCCCGGGCCTTTCATTAGTTAATACATCCTGGTTCTCGGGCCTACCATTAGTTAATACATCCTGGTTCTTGGGCCTCTCATTAGTTAATACATCCTGGTTCTCGGGCCTACCATTAATTAATGAATCCTGGTTCCCGGGCCTTTCATTAGTTAATACATCCTGGTTCTTGGGCCTTTCATTAGTTAATACATCCTGGTTCTCGGGCCTACCATTAGTTAATACATCCTGGTTCTCGGGCCTTTCATTAGTTAATACATCCTGGTTCTTGGGCATCTCATTACTTAATACATCCTGGTTCTCGGGCCTACCATTAGTTAATACATCCTGGTTCCCGGGCCTTTCATTAGTTAATACATCCTGGTTCTCGGGTTTTTCATTAGTTAATACATCCTGGTTCTTGGGCATCTCATTAGTTAATACATCCTGGTTCTCGGGCCTTTCATTAGTTAATACATCCTGGTTCTTGGGCCTTTCATTAGTTAATACATCCTGGTTCTCGGGCCTTTCATTAGTTAATACATCCTGGTTCTCGGGCCTCTCATTAGTTAATACATCCTGGTTCTTGGGCATCTCATTAGTTAATACATCCTGGTTCACGGGCCCTTCATTAGTTAATACATCCTGGTTCTCGGGCCTACCATTAGTTAATACATCCTGGTTCTCGGGCCTTTCATTACTTACTACATCCTGGTTCTCGGGCCTTTCATTAGTTAATACATCCTGGTTCCCGGGCCTCTCATTAGTTAATACATCCTGGTTCTTGGGCCTTTCATTAGTTAATACATCCTGGTTCCCGGGCCTCTCATTAGTTAATACATCCTGGTTCTCGGGCCTACCATTAGTTAATACATCCTGGTTCTTGGGCCTCTCATTAGTTAATACATCCTGGTTCTCGGGCCTACCATTAATTAATGAATCCTGGTTCCCGGGCCTTTCATTAGTTAATACAACTTGGTTCTTGGGCCTTTCATTAGTTAATACATCCTGGTTCTCGGGCCTTTCATTAGTTAATACATCCTGGTTCTTGGGCCTTTCATTAGTTAATACATCCTGGTTCTCGGGCCTACCATTAGTTTATACATCCTGGTTCTCGGGCCTTTCATTAGTTAATACATCCTGGTTCTTGGGCATCTCATTACTTAATACATCCTGGTTCTCGGGCCTACCATTAGTTAATACATCCTGGTTCCCGGGCCTTTCATTAGTTAATACATCCTGGTTCTCGGGCTTTTCATTAGTTAATACATCCTGGTTCTTGGGCATCTCATTACTTAATACATCCTGGTTCTCGGGTCTTTCATTAGTTAATACATCCTGGTTCTCGGGCCTTTCATTAGTTAATACATCCTGGTTCTTGGGCCTTTCATTAGTTAATACATCCTGGTTCTCGGGCCTTTCATTAGTTAATACATCCTGGTTCTCGGGCCTCTCATTAGTTAATACATCCTGGTTCTTGGGCCTCTCATTAGTTAATACATCCTGGTTCTCGGGCCTTTCATTAGTTAATACATCCTGGTTCTTGGGCCTTTCATTAGTTAATACATCCTGGTTCTCGGGCCTTTCATTAGTTAATACATCCTGGTTCTCGGGCCTTTCATTAGTTAATACATCCTGGTTCTTGGGCCTTTCATTAGTTAATACATCCTGGTTCTTGGGGCCTTCATTAGTTAATACATCCTGGTTCTCGGGCCTACCATTAGTTAATACATCCTGGTTCTCGGGCCTTTCATTAGTTAATACATCCTGGTTCTCGGGCCTTTCATTAGTTAATACATCCTGGTTCTCGGGCCTCTCATTAGTTAATACATCCTGGTTCTTGGGCCTTTCATTAGTTAATACATCCTGGTTCCCGGGCCTCTCATTAGTTAATACATCCTGGTTCTCGGGCCTACCATTAGTTAATACATCCTGGTTCTTGGGCCTCTCATTAGTTAATACATCCTGGTTCTCGGGCCTACCATTAGTTAATGAATCCTGGTTCCCGGGCCTTTCATTAGTTAATACATCCTGGTTCTTGGGCCTTTCATTAGTTAATACATCCTGGTTCTCGGGCCTTTCATTAGTTAATACATCCTGGTTCTTGGGCCTTTCATTAGTTAATACATCCTGGTTCTCGGGCCTACCATTAGTTAATACATCCTGGTTCTCGGGCCTTTCATTAGTTAATACATCCTGGTTCTTGGGCATCTCATTAGTTAA